AAAGATCAGGCAAAACTCTTCTACCTTTTGCTTGGAGGTATAATTAATACAACAGTGAATTCTAATGAATCCCCAACTCAAAACCTCTAGAAAGGTTGATAAAAAAGTTTATGATAAAAAAGGTGAGAACTTTTATCTAAGATATGGATGATCAAAGAAAGTTTGTACTCAAGAAGAATTAGCTGAAGAATACAAATGTGATCTTTAGGCTCTACTCTTGCTCAAAGATAGGAAGAGAAAGATATGAACTTCTTGCTCACAGCTTTTTCTCTTGTTTTTCCTCTCTTCTCCTTTTCAAAGATGATTATAACTCATTCAAACTCTCTCAAAATCCTTGCTGTAATGTTTTAAGGGTGGATATTTATAGCCTCTGTGATTTTCTGCTCATTGAAGTGAAATTTGAATAATTTTTTGTACGTTTTAGCTAGCTTGCAAAATTCTGTCACATTTGTAGAATTGATTCATTGTTGTTAAGAAGTCAGTTATTTGAAAAGTTTGTAGCTTTTTGTCTTTAAAGAATCAATTCTTCTATTTTAAGGTGTTGGTTTTTCTACAATTGGAGCCTTTGTAATCTTGGAGAATCCATTCTTTTGCCTCAAGGTGTTGGTTTTTTATTGTGATCTAGGACCAAAATTTGAATTTAAGCCTTGCTTTTGCTGTTCCACTTTTTTCTAGTTGTACCATCTCTTATTGGTTTTTGAATTGTACTTTTAGTGCTTCAAGAATCGATATCTTCTCCATGTAAAATTGATTCTTTCTTCTTTGCTTTTTTGCCTTTTGCATTCTGTCTCTCCAAAATTGATTCTTTGTCTTTGATGTGCTAGTTCTTCATAAATCCTGAAGCTTCTATCTTTTAAAAACTGACTTCTTCTTTACTTAGAATTAATTCTTTACTGTTAATCTCTCTTAAGAATTGACTTCTCCTTCTTTAGAATTGATTCTTTTTGTAATCAAAGAAATAAAATTTGCTTTCTTTTCATTTAAGAATCAAGTCTTTTATTTTGAGAACTTGATTCTAGGGTGACACTTTGATTTTTGAAAGCAAGAGATTTTTAAAATATTTTTTTAAGTTCAAAAGCATTATCATATTCATATTCAAGGCATTTCAATATATCTTTCCTCTATTTTAGCTTTATCATTCCTTTGAGGATTTTCTTCATATGAAAAAATATCTTTCATTCATTTTCAAAACTCGTTAAGTTCAATCAATTTTGTCATGTCAAAACAAAATCTAAACTAACATTTTTCAAGTTTAAATATTTGCATGAAAGAAAGAAAATAAATAAATAACTAAAAATAGAAGTACAAAAGAAGAAATGATAAAAAATACAAAAGTTAAATTAAATAGCTAAAAAAAGATAAAAATGAGTCAAAGACATATATCTAAATGGGTTCAAAACCCAAATCAAGGCGGTTCTAAGCTATTAGGCTAGGCCTGGCCCATTTCCTTCTTCCTTTCTTTCTTTAGTTTTTTTTTTCTTTCACTTAGAATGACTTCATTTTGGGTGCCTTTTTAAAAACCTTAAGAACCTACTATAAAACCAACTTTTTTCTCATTTTTTACTCGATCTTTCTCTCTTTATCCATCATTCTCTCTTCAGGTTTTTCCCTCTAAAAGCTTGACCACCCCTTATTTCTAGATTTTGATGTCAAATCATCATATGTTGCATGCTACTTGTTGACATCGAATTTTCACCTAAAAAATTACCATTTGCTTCCTTTCAACGTTCTCTTGCCTTTAATGGAACTAGTTTTTTCAAACCACAAAACCTCTATATTTTTCCTAGATCTAAGAAAAACTAAGCCCCAAAAAATGAAAAGCCTGTCTTGTTTTTTGTTGATTTTTGTTGAGCTTTTTATGGTGTGTTGATTATGCATTTTTCCTACTTTTTCTAATTTTATATTATTTATTTATATTTTTTAATTTTTTTTATTCTGTTCTTGTATTTTATTTTAGTACTTGGATAACAATGGGTGTTCACAAACCAAATGAGAGGAGAAGGGAGTGGGGTGTAGCAGGGCATTGATGAGTAATGGGTGGAGGACGGGTGGGAGGAAATGAAAGAAATAGATAGAAAAGTTGCTACCTAATTTTTCTCAAACTAATCAATTTGGGAATTAGTGATGAATGCAATATGTTTGATTCATCTAACCTGAATTTGTTCATGATTATAGTTTGTATTTATTGTCAACATGTTAGAAACCTAATGAGCTACACACATTTAAAAGATGTCAATTTAAGAATGTAAAAATAGGAGATTAGGTTGGACTTAATTGAATGAAGTTATGAACTTCAAGGACTTAATTGATTGTGTTCAATTAAATTAGGGTAATTTTTATAATTAATATAAAAGTTTTATTAAGCCTAATTGCCTCTATATAAGTTATGCTATGTTGCCTTAAAAAAGGTGTGGGTGTGATTGTGTGTATGTGTGTGTAACAACACTTGAAAGGTAAGAAGAGAGAGAGAGAAAGAAGGGTTCAGCTAAGAAAAAAAGAAACCTAAACATTTAACCTCCTTTGTCTTTATGTTGTCATATAGTCTTCCCTCTTCCTCTTCTTCTTTGGCTTTTTGTCTTCCCTTAAGTGAATAATGAGAAACCAACATCTTTTATACATAGCTAGAACTAACCTTAGTAGTAAGCAAACACCACAACCACCTTTGTAGCCTTTCTAGTTTGCATCTTGTGTGGATCACCATTAGAGGTTGTACACTTAGGTAGCTTAAGGTTTGCAACAACTTAAGCTTTTTGTGAGAGGTTCTTTAAAGCACAAATTGTTGTAGGGCTCTTGATTTAGACATTAAAGCCATAAAGGTAAAACAAACTTCTACCAAATAGCTACAATTGGTCAAAGAACATAAGAAGTCCCTGTATTATAGCGTTTTGCTCAATTTAGTCTCTTTATCTAAAATTTCGTTAATTTGGTCTCTTTATTTTTGACATGGGATGTAATTTGGTCCCTTTGAGTATCTCCGTCTAAATTGATTGTTAGATACATTGACGTGGCCTTAACATGTCAGACTATACTAACATAGCTTTTTTTTTTTCTTTATTCTCCCTTTTGCCCAAAACTACTTCGTTTGATAGGGCTATTTAAAGTACATTTACTTCTTTTTTCTCATTTTTCCTTTTATCATTCTCTCTCTCTACCTTACCCTTCTCTCCCTAAGACTGCCCCCCTAAACTCAAATCCTAGCAACTGTTACTATCGGTTGGTGATCTCCAGTGGTTGAAAATTCCAAAAAAAAAAGCCACGGAACTCTTTTTTTTCATCATTTTTCTCTTAATCAAGATGTTTCAAAATCTATCTTGATTTCCTTAGGTCTAAAAAAGAAAACTATCCTAAAAATGAAAATTTCTAAAAAGAAACTTGCTTCTTGTACGTGAGGAATCTGGATGTATTTTACATCAGTAACTAAATTCCTTTTTAAAATATTGTACTATTTAATGGTCCAAAGTTTCCTTTTTGGAGCAAAGTCCTTTACAAATAATGTACTGCTACGGTGCTGTACACTTTCTATTTTCAAAACAAAAACAAAGTTTTAATGGTTGTATTAACACCCCGTACTTTGATATGGTGGCTAATAGAGCTTATTGGATACCAATTGAGGTTAATTAAAGTGTTTAATAGCGTTGAAGGGTGAAAGGAATATTTTAGAACAGAATATTTTGTATGTGATAAAATAATAATATTTTGTTAAGGTCGAAGTTATGGAGTTAAAACGTACTATAGAGCTAAACTAGGGCAAAGTAAGATATTTTGGAGCCTTAGAAGGCCAGAGGGAAATTTTAAAATAAAATAATAATTTTTAGATAAAATAATATTAAAATAATATTGATGTCAAATTGATTATATTACATGAAGAATGTGTGATTTGTACAATTTGTCTAAATGGAGGAGTGGAAGTAAGAAAAATTTCAAACAAATGAAGTATTAGTGGGGCTCGCATGTCTTGACTAAATTAAGTGAGAAAAAGTAAGTATATATATTTAAATATTATGGTAATATCTTGGTGGAGTATAAATTTGATATTTTATTTGAACAAGTGTAAAGGAAGAAAAATAGAAGAGAATTGAAATAAAGAAATGATAGGAGGGCCCAATTAAAGAGAATAAGAAGTTGAGGGGTGGAATTGTAAATAATAAAAAGTTACGGGGTGAAGTATAATTATCAAAAGTTGAAGGTTCAATTAGCAATTTATGAAAAGTTTGAAGGATCAAATTATAAAAGATGAAAAGTTTAGAGGGTCAAATGATAAATAAAAAAAAGTTAGAGGACCTATGTGCAATTTCTCCATTTTAAGCTAAATGAATATTTAATGTATGTATATTTGTATTATGAAAACCAAGATGACATTCAAGTAGGATGCAAGTAAAATGAAATGGCAAGGGAAACCATGGTTTGGAAAAGATAGCCCATGGTATTTAAAGAAAAAGGTGTAATCATTACACATGATTTGACTTAATAAGAAAAAGAAAGAATAATATTAGTTACATGAAATCCTATTAGTTTGAAGGAGGTTAAATAAGATTCAAGAGTGAAAAAATACATGGAGTCTTATTGGTTCATGGGATAGCAAAGGTTATTGGCAAAGGAAATGTGCATGAAATATTATTGCGTGATAATGTGGCATTAAAAGGAAATGCATGTGAAATGAAATGCAAATGAAATAAACCAAAAAGAATACCATGTGAACCAATGCATGGGCAAGGCAATCTAACCAAAGGATAATGGAATGGATAAGGAAACATTACATGCACAAGCCACCAATGGAAAGTGGCGTTAATAACAAAGAAAGGAATTGCATGGCATGATATGTGAAAGAAAAATAAAATAGAAAAATGCCAAAAGTTACCAAGCCTTGGGCAATCCGCCTATGAAAGAAATGGAAAGGAAATGGGAACTTCCACATGGCCATTTCAAGCTTATTCCTTGTTAAGTCCACCCATATAAAAAAGAAAGCAAACAAAGTGTGATTGCCTTGAGAGATCCACACCTTTAAGAGAAAAGAAAGAGAATCGACCTTGAAAGTAAAAAAAGGGAAGAAAGGAGAAAGAAGAAAAGAGAAATGAGAAAGAAAAAAAAGCTTGGGGGAGGTTCAGTTTTGGAGAAAATTGGAGAAAAACTAAAAGGTTTTCTCTTGCATGCCATTGTCTGAGCTTGAAGGAGACAATGGAGGTTCAGCTTAGTGATTTTAAGGTAAGAAAGGAAAAAGCTACAATTTTGTTTAAATGCATGCCTTGTGAACTGATTGTAATGTGAGATTGTGCTTGTGGTAGCAAGAATCTTCAAGGATTCAAAGAACTGTGTGCATGCATGTAGATGAATCTTAGAAGCATGGTGATTTTGAGTAAAACAAGTGATGGGTAAGTGTTTTAATCTTGAGATCATAAGTGGAAAGGAAAATGAGATGTGTATTAATTGTTTATGCTTGTGGTAACAATGGTGACCAAGGATGTGAGGAAATTGTGAGCTATATGTGGAATTCAAGATAAAAACTGAAAAGTAAGCATGCAATGTGAGTACATTATGTTATATTAGACTTGGTTGGTTGAAGTTCATAGATTGCATGTTAGATTATTGTGAATAACAAGGATGAAAAACGTGAAGCTAGACTACAGATTCATTGATTAAAGTGCTGCCCATATATGTGTACAATTAAGTATAAATATGGAAGTAGACATAATGAAAAAGATAGATTATTGCGAGGGATTCTTGAAAAATAAAGAAAACTAAGAATATGGTATATAAAGCAGCAAATATGAGCTGAATTGGGGTGACATTCACTAAATATATTGAGTTTAGTTTGTTGCTAGAAGTAATGAAGTAAGGAAGGTTTACTGTGGTGGTGCATTGGAAGAGGTAACGGGTGACTGGCAAGTAGAATTAGCTAGAGACACACTTGAACATATGGCAATGTAGTGTATTGATATTGTGAGGTGAGTAGGGGGTGTCTATTTTAAAATGGTTTCATAATATATAGAATGATGTTTCATATACTATTATTTGATTATGAATTATTCAATGTCATTGTGGAAAGCATGAGTTACTAGAAAATGATAGATGGTTTTAAATACCTATTCGTGAAAGATTTATAAACTGTTATTGTGGAAAGCATGAGCTGGTAAAAATGCTAGGCAATTATGGATGCCATGACTTTTAAAATTGTTTTGAATATATATATATATAAAAGCTATATAAGTAAAGGGTTTTAGAAATCGAGAAACAAGCTCTTTAACAGGGTTTTAGCTACTCTCAAGTAGCTATATATATATTGTTTGTGTGATGTGCATTCATGAATAAATTACATATTCACCATGCTGATTTGATATTTAAACCTCATGCAAAGGTTTTATATTATAAAGTCTTACAAAAAGGGGTTTCATCATGTTACCATGATTGGTATTTTGGAAATGGATTTAAAATGAGCTTTTGAGAACCCAATTTGATTTTTAAATGGTTTTATCAAATCAGGCGATTCGAGAGTAGGTCGAACATCACATCAGGATAATGTGACCTTTGTGCATAAGTGAGCTCTAACTAGAGAACCTTTGGGTCATCGATGGGCTGTTAGACGTGGCTAGGCAATGGCCTATGCTATATATATATGTGGCAAGGGCACGGGGTTGATATATGTGGCTAGGCCACAAGTTGATATACGTGGTTGCGACTATGTGACTTCTCCGATGTTGGCCAACATGTCAAGATTGCCATGGTTATGGGAATCCGGTGGAGCGAGGCCTCCTAAATGTTATTATGTGGAAGTGGGTCCACGAGTTGATTACTATGATTACCTACTTGAGAGTGATATCTCTTTGGCTTTACAAACATGAATTCTGTCGCATGGTGAGAATTGCTAGTTTTTCCACCGCTTCTTTATTCATACAATGACATTGTGTTTAATACCTTAAGGATGAGATGATTTATGAGCTTGTGCAAAAGCTTTGATAATGATTGATTTCATGGGAGCAGGCATTTGTATGTTAGTCCAATTTCAAGTAAAGGACATTAAATGGTTTCGACGATAGAAATCTTTCACTTACCCTGGCTTTGATACAATGATTGTTAAATGATTACTTTGCATTAAAATTCTTGATTTTATATGTAAGGCACAAATGTTCCATTTGTCTTTGAATGGTTTATATATGCTTATGCTTTTAACATTCAAATTTTCTATCTTTAACTTGTTTCCCATCTACGCCTTATTCATTGAGCCGATGATTATTAAGTCTATGAGACTCACCCCCAATATTCTTATTTTGCAGAGAAGTGATCAGCTAGCGTGCTTTTCATCGGCATATTATGGTCCACTACAACATAGGTAAAGGCATCTCTTAGTACCTTATTCTGAGTCATTCCGCTGTTAGAGGTCGGGTCATTTGTTGTATATTTGTTTCAAACGTAAACCATTGTATAAAATGTAAACATATATTTATATGATAATGAAACATAATGTATAGAGAGAATATTTGTTATTAACGAAATCGTGATGGTTATGAGATTTTGGACGGACATGTTATGGTTTGATAAAATGATAATTGTGGAGGCTTGTTTGGGATATGGTGGGTTCTCCTGCAAGTCTCGAACGTCGATAACGATCGAGAAGAGGGTCATTACAGTTGTCATGTAAAGTTCATTTTTTTTCATTATGTGTGGTGGCATATCTTTCATTCGATAATAGGCACACCAGTTATTTGGAACTTCGAATGAGATATCAAAAATGCAATATTACTTATTATATTTTCTTTATTAACTTAATTTTTTTGTTGGTTTGCTCACTAGTTGTGTGTATATCTTAGATCTATTTGATGATGTTTGATTTATCTATTAAACCTGATTCTAAACCAAAATATTTTAAACCTAAACAGTTAACAAGATATGAGTGTTAAATGCTAGAGGCTTCTAGTTTCCATTTTTGAGACATGATCGACACATGGACTAACCTGGGTATAGCCCACTGGGCCCAAGTAAGCTTTAATCATCAATGCATAGGCTAGTCATCCATTGCATTCATCATGTTACCATTCATAGAGAAACAAGCACCACTATAGCATTATGGAACTTCTCGACATAATGTGTGGAGTTTCATTCATTCAAATATAGAAAACACAAGTAAATAATCATGCTCACATTATTATGGAACTTCTCAACATAATGTTGTTCTCTATTGCATTTCATATCAATATTCACAATTTATATCATTTGTGGTCTGATACACATCCTGTACCCACATTGTTATGGTCTTTTCACTATTGTTTCAACATTCTCATATGTACCCATTTCTGGGGCTCAACACTATATTCACAATAATAAACAAAATGAATATAACAATACTTATTACATAACCAAGTATCACTCATGTATCAACTTTTAAAGACTTGAACTGACACACTATGGAGTGTAGTGACACTAAAGGGCTGAAAGGAAGGCACTTTCACACCAAATATGAGATAAGCTAGTCCTTTACAAAGTGCCTAGTGATAACTCTATTCTATAGAGTTATTTTGAGTCATTTTGGGAGCTTAAGTAGATAGATCTTTGAAATTTTAGGTTCGAATTTTAGCATTATAGGTGTTTTTTTTAGTTTAAGTTTGATTACTTGTTAAGTGATTAATTTAAGTTATTTTAGTTAAATTTTAAGTTATTTTATTTTAAATTACTTTAAGAGTAGTTATTGCTAATTTCTCTTATGACTTTTGTAGGAAATTGATAAAAAAGACTCATTTGATGAAAATCAGTGCAAGTATGGTGATAGCTTCATTCGTATATGTTTCAGTATTTTGACCATATCTCTTTCATAAAAAAACTCCAAATGAGGTGATTCTTAGACCAATAGAATTATAAGAAGAAGGGATACAATGTTTATGTTCACCAAGTTGCCCAGTTCTGATTGGATCATGGTCAAAATATTTGTCAAAGTCGGACCACTGCAGCAGTATGTAAAGACTGAACATGATGCGGTATTTGGAGCAAATCTTTCAATATTGAAGTCCAATTGATGTGATTTTTGATCCATTGGAAAGTTAAGAGACAGGGATAAGACTTTTATGTTTACTACTTTGCCCAGTTCTTAACATAGTTCAAGGGTAACTCACGTTTGAAGTTGATAGACTGCCACAGCGCTAGGCGAACAAGGCTGCACCGTTGACGAAAGGAAGCACACATACAAAATTCCAGAGAGCTCAGCGCTGCAGCGCTGGAGAAGTAGCGCCGCAGCGCTGCGCGACTTTCCAAAAAAAATAAAAGACATTAACGGGATTTCGAAAATTAGGTTATTTGGAGCCTATTTAAGGAGCTTTTTTCAGAGATTTTGGGGAGAAGGCAGCAAGCAACTATTCTGGAGATTTGAAGCCAAGAACAAAGCAAGGAAACAAGAGAATTGGAGAGAGATTAAGATTATAAATCTCTAACTATTAGTTTTCTCTCTTACCTTTGTGTTTTTTCTTATTTTCTTTGATTGGATTCATGGCTAAATTTCTTGGATATTGTCTTTATTAGATATTATGTCTATTTATTTTTTCTAGGATTGCAATTGAACTCACATGTAATCTAGATTTTTATCACTTTCTTGCTTATTTTCAATGGGATTTGAATTGTTTATTCCAATTTGTTCTTAATGCTTTTAATTGCTTGGCCACCAATTAAATTGATCTAGAAACCTAAACAAACTTGGGAAAGGGAGTTTAGTGGAGACTAAAATTGGGATACCATATGATCATATTAATTGATTTGCGTATAGGATAGGGATATACCTATAGGCCATATGTAGCCAGATTAGAGCCTGAACTTAATGAGTTTGTTTTAATTTCAATTCACATAGGGATATAGTGTTTTGGTTAAAATAGATATTTTTATAAGATGAGTCAGGAGCCCTTATAAATAATTTAGGACTCTAGGTTAGCAATTCAAACCATTGAGATAAGTTAAGGAAGAGAGGTAAGTTTAGATGAAGTGTGAGGGATATTGTAATCCTAGGCTTTGTTGATTTGATTTTTATTTGAGTATTCATTATTTTGATTTTTCTTAATTTAATTCTGCTATAACTTAGTTTGATTTGATATTATTTTGATATTGTTTGGATAAGATTAATTTGCGATAATTTTAGTACTTAGTAAACTTTTAGATCAATTCCCTGTGGATCGATACTCTACTTGCTATATACTGTCTATTCGATACATATACTTGCGTAGTAGAATTTTAACTAACACCTAGCCAAGTAAACTATTGATTTGTAAAACAAAAATAAGAGGAAATAGCAAGTGAGTCATAAAAATTTGGTTAGTGGATATGGGGAAAAGAACAAGCCAAGAGGAAGAGTTTTTACAATAAATCATACTTTGCAAAAATAGTATGATATTTCATAATTATACATATAAATACTCTCAAATGTTCAATCATTTCATTTCAACATCTTTCCATGAATGCATTTAAACTTCAATATGCATAAAAGAATTAATAAGCATTTGTACCTCTACTTATAAAACATTTGCAAAGAGAAAAATGAGAGAGTTCATATCAAGGATACTGGTACCTTTACCATTGGTAGTGGACTTAATTCTTATACAACCCATATCTTAGGTATTACTCCCACTTGGGGATTTAAGAAACACTATGCGAGTTTTCCCACTCGATAGCTCCATGTCAACCTTTTAACACGTGAATAAACATTTGTCAACTTAACACATTAGCATTATTAAATGAATAGGTCCAACAATTCTATATAGGCATGGATATTACCATCTCAATAATTGACATGTTTGCCTTGTCATTACAATAATAAAGTGTGTGGTAGGACATCCCACATCTGGCTCTTATCATGTGTGGAATGCTGCCCCACATCTAGCCCTTGTCACGTGTGGTATAACGCCCCACATCTGGCCCTTATACTCGTGTGGTATGACGACTCACATCTAGCCTTTATGCATTTATGGCAATTTCATAAAAGCTTAAGACATCATCGTTGCATAACATTCAACAATTAAAATTTATAGTATTCACATTCTATTCTTGCCAACCATAACACAATTTCATCAATGGGTATTATGACGTCCACACATAACAATCAAGGGGTGGAGACTTTTTCATCCACTCTCAGATTTTTATATTTGTGGGCATTTACCATCCATATTCACCACTTTGTAAAGGCATATCATTCCACTCACACTAGCCCTTAGGCCGGGGTGGTTTTCTAATGTTTAATATTCACACACAACTGGGCTGTTATTTGTTCATCCACCTATGCTTTTATCTAGCCATGCATTAATTGTGCAACATACATCCTATTGAGGAATATTTGAATAAAATCATTTGAAAAGGGTTATCCTTTTTTGTTGAAAACTAATATGTAATAGGAGTATTTACTTACATAATTGATTTGAAGCCTCGTCAAAATCATTTGTGTGTAACCACTCAAATTTATTGATTTTATCATAGTTTTCAAATCATGCAATAAACACCAATAGATGAATCATGCTAACTTTACTCTATAAAATATTTAAAGAGGTGCACCCACTCACTTTTGAAAAGTCAATTTCTACGAACATGCGAATCTATAGTCCAACAAAATTCTTGGAGATTCAATCGTTCTTAAACATCCAACAATTATTGTAATCAATACTTAGTCTTAGAATTGCATAATAATCGTTTTAGGCTATTTCAAAACTATTCAAGTTCACCTCAAATAATTTTTCAGATTAAATATATTTGCCCTTCAAATACCCATGTATTTAAATCTGTAAACTCATTACCCTTACTTTAGATGAGCTTTAGATAAAAAGGAAAACTTTCCAAATCCTTTAGTTTGAAGTAAACAATAAATTTGGAACAATAAATAATACTTTCAAAGTTGGAAATCAAAGATTAAAAGATTTCAAAGTGGAAAAACATCACCTTTGCTGTCAAAAATCAAAAGTAAACTTAAATTTTCCAAAAATTGTGATTTAAGTTGAAAATGGGTTGAGAAAGCATTAGGGTTGAGAAAATACCTTGTGCAAATGGATGAGGGTCACAAACTCTCATAGAATGTGACATGTTTATAGTTTGAAATGTGAAAATACATTTTTACCTTTTTTATTTTTATGAAAATGACTTTATCTATTGATAGATGGGGCTATTTATTGATAGGTGAACTTCAAGGTCCTTTTAAAAAGCTTTGGAGTTGCTATCTATCGATAGATATGTCCATATATTGATAGATATGTCCTTATATTGATAGATAGGTCAAATCTATTGATAGGTGTTGAACATTTATCGCTAAATGTTCTTCAATTTTCTTCAAAACCTGTTTTTGGGTTTATCTATCGATAGATCAAGAACATCTATCTATAGATAGGTTCCAAAAAGCAAATATAAACTTAAAAACTTGCCTATTTAGACTCTTTTTTACCCTTAAACTTTGTAAGCCATCTTTATGCATCAAAATATGACTTTATCCAAACTTAAACCTAAGTTTAAATGCTCAAAACATGACATTTATTGGCTCACCTAATGACTTCTTAACTTAGCATCACATATAGAGGTGGGATTTCATAGTTTCCTTATTAGTTGTTGGGGTCAAAATTAGTTTACCAAAATCTCAAGTCATTCGCAATAAGTGAATGGAGTTCTAGTTTATCATTATCAGCAGAAGAGCTTCGAACTTGTGTTACACTCACAAGATGTTCCATTTTATGGTGCCATTGTCAAAAGTTTACGCCTGAATATGAGTTTCAGAACTACAAGAACAAAATTTTGGGTAAAAGGGGTTTAGAAAATTTCTTTTGTAGAATAGTTTTCTTTTTTAGATATAGTAGAATTGAGATAGATTTTGAAAAAAAAAATCTCGATTCAAGAGAAGAAGGTGAAAAAAATAGTTTAGCACTTTATTTTTTTAAAATTTTTGATCACAAGAGACCTGTGATTAGTGGTAGCAGTGATCTAGGTTTAGGGGTGTCAGTCTTGAGGAGAGAAATGTAGGGGGGAGAGAGAAGAAGATAGCTAAAAAAGAAGGAAAGAATGGAAAATAAGCAACAAAAGAAGTAAATGTGTTCTAAATCCCCACAAAAATGACATAGTTTTGGCTAAGGGGAAAAGAAAAAATGAGGAAGAAAGAAAAAATGATGAAGAAAAAAAAAGCCATGTTAACGCCCCATAAACATGCTAATTTAAATGAAGTTACTCATAAGGATCAAATTGCACCCAATGTCAAAACTAAAGGAACTAAATTAACAAAATTTTGGATACAATGACTAAATTGAATAGAATACTATAGCATAAGGAATTATTATGTACTTTAACTAGCTACGATTACATTTGTATTAAACAACCGACGATAATCTAGCTTGAGGAAAAAATTTTAAATTTTCGTTACATTTTGTAAATTGTTTGCATGGCTTTTCTCATCATATCCTTATTTCTAATTATAGAATATACAATCCCATCACAAAAGTTTCATCACCATGGAAAACATCATCAAAAGAAAACTGAGCAATTAAGATTTTTAACTTTGAATTTGAAATAATCGTTTATTAATAAATATGATATCGAAATAATGTTTGTTGAAAGAATAGGAACATAATAACATCCTTTAAGCTCACAAGGTAAACCGCTCAACAAAGATAAATAAAAAGTCTATACAATTAAGGCATGAATTCTTCCACCATTGCCAACTTTAGGTTCATTTCTCCCTTAGCCAACCTTTTACCTTTTTTTACTTCCTACATATTCTTACACAAACGAAAACCATATTTGGTATCTAATA